AGTGCCTGAATAGCTGAGCACAGTGAAATGAATCCCAAAGAACCAATTGCATAGGTGGCCCTTCTACAGCAGGGGGCCTAAGGACTCTTTTCCCAAATATAGTGTACCTCAGTTCATAAACTCAATTGTCTCCACAATTCTGGTCACAAACCAAACTGGTTAAGAACTGAATCAAATTTCCCCATAAGGTCAACATGAACCTAACCACTGAATTTGATTGGATTCTCATCCAGCTCGGTTTGTGACCAGAATCATGGAAAGAATCAAATGTATGAACTGAGGTACCACAGTAAAAGGTTTACACTTTTCCACTTCTGAGCCTGTAATAGATGGGGTTTTGCTGATTCCTGAGATGTCTTCAAGCCATCTTTTCTATTAGCCTGATGAGATTACTTGGTTTCTTTTTAATGTTAATCTTTTCAGTAACGATGCTGTCTTTGCCCTAATTTTATAGGCATTTCCTTCCTGGCAAAACTGGAAATATTTTATATCTTTTGGCTCTGTCTTTTGCTCCTAGTTCTCACCTAGTTAATCTGAATAAAAGCAACAGCTGAATCCATGCCACAACCTGAGTGTTGGGTTGCCTTGAAATTTCTTCCACTAGATCAATTAGTTCACTGCCCTCAATCTCAGTCTCCTGCAAAGTCAGGACATGGATGAATTTAAGACAATTTATCTGCCAGCCTATGATACATATGGTCTCTGGCCCAACTGCCAATGGAATCCTTGTTCCCAACTGAAACCTCCTGAGTGTGGCCTTTACTGTCCAGGTTCTTATCCCCACTCTGGTCTTCTGAGCTCTGACCAGAATCTCTCATCAATCCTTTACTTATAGCAGTCAAAGCCTTTTCTAAATCATTCCAAACTCTTCCCTCAAACCAATTCCAAAAGCTTTGAAACCACATGGTCAAATACAGTCACATCAATGACCCCACTTCTCTGGTATTAGTCACTTTCTTGTCACTAGGACAAAAGGCCCAACACCCACAATTTAAAGGAAAAGTTTATTTGGCTTGCATTTTCCAGTGGGTTCAGTCCAAAATGAGCTGGCTCTAAGGCAGGAACACACAGTGGAAGGGTATGGCAGAGGAACGCTGCTCATCCCATGGCATCCAGGAAGCAAAAAGAGAAGGCAGGAGCTGGGGACAAAAATAAGAATACACTTTTCCAGGTCATGCCCCAGTGATGTACCTTTAACCAGGTTCCATCTCTTAACAGCAAGTCAGCTATGAATTCATCAGGAGACTAATCCACACTGATGAGTATATACCCCTCATGATGCAATCACCTTTCAAACACTTTTGGGGAGTCATTTTAGATCTAAACCATAAAGGCATCTCTGCCTTCATGTTATATCTCCTTTTCAACCTTAAAACTTTCAATCAGATTCCTTCTTAGCTCTCCATGTAGGCATGTTAATCACTTAAGGAGTATCAGTCTAAACCTGATAATCAATGCCTCAAGTTCACCTAACCTATTTTGTCCTCCTTCAAAACTGAGGACACCAAGATAAGAGATTTGCGTTGATATTCAACTGCCAATTTTTGTAATATCTGCCCTAAACCATGTAGAATGGACACCTCAAAGTCTCCAGTCACTGCCCTAAACTTGTAGTTGCCTTGGATTTCCACACATCCTTCACAGAACTAAGGCTACCTTCTACCAAAGGAGAGCAATCACCTCGTAGGAATCAAATTGCCCTCTCAGGTGATGAAGATTTCTCCAGAGTCACGTTGCAAAACCAGAACCAAATGATCAATTAGACCCTAGCACACCTCATAAACTCCATATAAACTTGTCCTTTTCCTTTGTTTCCTTTGCAGGCTAATCTTCTTCATCAGAGTTGCATGATGTTCAACTTTTCTTCTCCTCATGCTGAAGTCCCACATTTCTCTCCTTCTCAAAGCTTTTGCCTGTAAACCCAGGTTTTTTGCTTCAGTTTTAATTTCCATTATCACCGAAGTAAACTCCCACATGCAGTCTGCCATCATCCTAGTGGACATTTCTGGATTTTGGACTGCCTGAGTCCAAGCTGGAGATGCTAGAAGAATGGGTAAACTTAAATTTAGTAATACTTTAAATCATAGTTTTCCCCAATCACCTGCTACTATTTACTTCTCATTGTCTTCAAATAGGAACTCCATGCAGCCTGTCCAAGACTGTTTTACAACTGCATTTGGGGGGCGAGACGGGGTAAGATTTGCTTAATCATTGTAAGTTTTCCTCATAGATACAGAATTAATAGAATGTGTGTATGTGTATATGTGTGCAATACAAGTGTAGAGATGCAGATATAAAAATTAGCTTATGATCATGGAAGCTGAGAAGTATCAAAATCTGCTAGAGAGCATGAGAGGCCACAGGTTGTTCCAGTCGGAAAGCCAGCAGACTCAAAGGCAAAAAACCTACGTTTCAGTAGGTTCATTTCTTTATAGGTTGTTAGTGAGTCTGAAGGCCAGAAAAGACAATATTCCAGCTCAAAGAAGTTAAACAAAAGGAATTCCCTCTTTTGAGGGATATTCAATTTTTTAATTCTGTTCAGGCTTTTAACTGATGAGGACCGCCCAAGTTAAAAAGGGCAATCTCCTTTATTTCAGTCTACCAATTCATATGTTAATCTTATCTAAAATCTCCCTCACAGATATAACCAGGATAACATTTGACTAAATATTCAGCCATTCAGTGGGCCAGTGAAGTGGACACACAAAAATATATCTTTCTTATCCCGAAATAGGTACTTATGTTCCATGTTCAGTTTTGGAATACCTTCTGGTAAACTACAGATTATAAATATCTACATATTCTGGCACCTAATTTTGAAAATACCTTACAAGTATCCTTAACATTCTACATCATTCTAAAATGGTTTGAAAATGTGATCTACAAACTCTTCATATCAAGCTCATAACAGATTTGATTCACCTTTTTATGACCGCTCTAGCTTCTAGGCATCAAATATTTTATAGAAGTACTGGAAGATTGCCAATAAAACCAACTAAGAACCTATTGTACACGTCCATGTGAGAGATGATATACTTTAAGCAAGTATGTTATAGTGATAGATATGAATAGTTGCAGTGAGTTGAGTAGTACAGATCACAACAAATCAAGAACCAGACCCCAGGGGTTTGGAGCCCATTTGCCTCCAGTAGAAAGTAATGTGGTCATTGGAAGGAATACTGGATGTGCTTTTATGGAATAGTTACCAGAATATTTTTGTAGGGGAAAACAAGGTACACAACAGAGTGTATAACTTGCTACCATTTGTGCCTAAAATGGGGTAGTAGGTTTTTATATACATGCATGATTAGTAGGACCCGGATATCTCTGAAAGGGTACAACAGAAAAGCAATAGTGGTGCCTGTGGGAAAAACTAGGATCAGGCAAGTGAGGGAGATTTGCTAGTCATTGTTTTTCTTCCAGTATCAGGAATCAAACTCACGACCTTGCGCTTGCCAGGCAGGCACTTTTGCCACTGAGCTAAATCCCCAGCCCCTTTGCTAGTCATTGTATAGATTTCTCTGTTGTTTGAATGTTTTGCCTTTTGCATGCATCCACTTTAAAATTTTTAATTTAAAATCAGTGGCTTTCCACTGTCTAAAGTTCAGTGAGTTACAAGAGCTCTCTAGAGAATGTGGGCCTATCCTCGCCTCTTGTCAGACCCACTTGTAAGTTAGCTATGTGGCACCTTAGGCACTGTGGTTGTCATTCTCTGCTCTTTATGCAGATTTCTACCTTTTTCACTTTTATCCTTTTATGCTTTTGCTAATCATTGCTTCTTAAATTTGGAATGTCTTTCGTATCTCCTTTTCACTCATATAAATTGGCCTCCATTTTCATTCTAAACATGCTTTCTGCTTAGAATCTGTGCATTTGCAATTTCCTCTGCCTGAAATGCATGCTCCCTTACTTCCCTCCCTACTTTGCATGCCTCACCTTATTATAAAACAATAGCCACCCAAAATCACTTTCTGGCCTTTTCCTGTTTGTTTTTCTTCACAGCACTTGTCACTTTGTGCACATGCTTTTTGTTGTTCATTTATTTCTGTCTTCCTAATAAAACTCTATAAAAAAAACCTTTATTTTATTTAGGAATTAAGTTAATCCCTTGTGTTCAATTTGTGCTAAATGCACTAACAAATCATAATCAACCTGAAATTTGCACATTTAAGGATGTGTCATTTAAGACACATTAGGACACAAAGACATTAACCTATAAAAGAAATGAACACTGAAGAGTTTTGTTGTTGTTTTTGGTCTGTACGGGGGTGGAAATTGAATTCAGGGCCTTCAAATTCCAGCCCTTTTTAAATTTTTTAAATTTCGAAATAGCGCCTCACAGAGCTGTTAAATTGTCCAGGCTAGGTTCAAACATGTGATCTTCTTGCCTCAATCTCCAAGCACTGGTATTTAAGGTATTTGTCACCATACCTGGCTAAAGTTTTCATATGAGGCAAATTCAGAATATACCATAAGGGTAATTTCTGAGCAAATATCTCTCAGTGAACATCTTCAAAGTAGAAACCACTAGGACAACCTAATTATTACACTGATGATTATTATCTGTGACCTATTTTTCTGAAAGGTTTCTTCAGGAGGCCCTAAGTAACTTGAAGCCAAATTAGTGTCATGAAGTTGCTTAATAATCATGAATTGGAAACTGAAGAGCAGATACTATTTAAACGCTCTGGAGCTCTTAGCCTAATACCTCCATCTTCTTTCTAGGGAAACCCTGTATCTGAGATAGGCCAGGCAGCCTTTCTTTGGATATTGGGGTTCTGTCAACTACTGCTTCTAAATTTACCTTTTCTTGTCATTGGTTCCTGTAGACTGGGTCTTTTGAGCATATGCATTATTAACAGATGAGCCATGGCTCATGTTCACGTCTGCTGGCATTCTGATTCACATAACAGGATTTCATCACTTTGTGGTAGCCCTTTACCATCCTACCTCTTTTTGGACAAAGAACTCAAAGTAAAGCGAGTGGGGTTCCATGATTTATTTTTTAATAAAGAAGGTGATCAACAGTTTCAAAAAGTGGGGACCTCTGTCCTAGGCCGACCATCTACTTTTTTTGTGATAGTCCACCAAACATGTTAAAATAATATTGACTAGGTTTCTGCTCATCACATTTCAGCTTTAACACCACCATAATTAATGGTGGAGCGCTTCCACAGTTTTGTAGTTTTCTGATTTATTGCCACAGATTGTTAATTAACCTCCACTATAGATTTGACAAGCTAGGTTACTAATTCCCTTCAGTCAGAGCTCTTGGGAATCACTAAAGCAACGGAAATGGGAATTAATTGGGTTTCTAGAAGAGGAATGGATTTTGAGGTGGAATTTGGAGCAGAATTTCACAGAGAAAGCGCCTCAGGGCTTGCAAATCAGCTAAAGCACAGTTGGAGGTCTTGATGATTCCACGGAACAGCGCCTAGAACGGATGGGGTTGCTGCAATGTGCGATAAGGCAGACCTAATCGTGCAGTGAGGGTTTTATTCGCCAAGCCAAGGCGTCAGAACTTTCCCCGCCGGCACCACGGAGCCTTCCAAGGTTCTCAGCAGGTGAGCGGACCAACCAGATTGGCAACCTAGAGATCCACTTTTAAAGTTCCTCTGGCGCGCCCTTGCAACACGCGCCCGCTTCCAGCCCGCGCCCACCCACAGGCCAGCTTAGCGGTAGGTGGTGACGGGGTCCCCCGGGCTGCAGCGCGAGGTCCCACCGCGCCGCCTGGTACACTGCTCTGGGCGCCGAACCTGGGCGCGACCTGGCCGCCGATTGGACGGCTCGGGGCGACCCCGCTGTATCGCGAGACGAGATTGGCAGCGCGGGGCCGCAAGTGCCCCCGCGCTGGCTTTGTACGCGGAGCCGCCTGCCGGTTCTTTAACAATGGGCGGCGCGGGCGCCCCGGCGCAGGGCTGCAGCTGAGGCCAGTGCTTTGCAACCCGCGGTCCGCAGCATGAGTGGGGCCGGCACACCGCGCGCGCCGGCGGGGCTGTGGCTGTGACGGCCGCGGTTCCGGGTAAGGCAGCCGCCGTGCACCGGG